CCAGAGCGAAATAAAAAAAGAAACCAGAGCGAAAAAAAGAAGACACCAGAGCGAAATAAAAAAGAAACCAGAGCGAAATAAAAGAAAGACACAGAGCGAAATAAAAAGAAGACACAGAGCGAAATAAAAAAGAAACCAGAGCGAAATAAAAAGAAGACACCAGAGAAATAAAAAAAAGAAACCAGAGCGAAATAAAAAGAAGACACCAGAGCGAAACCAGAGCGAATAAAAAGAAGACACCAGAGCGAAATAAAAAAGAAAAGAGCGAAATAAAAAAAGAAACCAGAGCGAAATAAAAAGAAGACACCAGAGCGAAGAGAAATAAAAAGAAGACACCAGAGCGAAATAAAAAAAGAAACCAGAGCGAAATAAAAAAAGAAACCAGAGCGAAATAAAAAAAGACCAGAGCGAAATAAAAAGAAACCAGAGCGAAATAAAAAGAAGACACCAGAGCGAAATAAAAAAAAGAAACCAGAGCGAAATAAAAAGAAGACACCAGAGCGAAATAAAAAGACACCAGAGCGAAATAAAATCCTACAAAACGAACTGCGCCGTCGTGACCGCATTTGAATTCTCCTTTTTACCAACAGGCAACGAAACTAGCTCAACACCTCGTCGCCGAGAACAAGATCCCCGACATCGGTAAAAATACGAAAGCTAGTTTATATTTGCAAAAAAGGTATGAATGAGAATGAGTATCCTCACAATACAAGCGATACTCATTCTTAACCATACCTCTGAATGACAATGAGAATCCTCGCAATTCAAGAGATACTCATTCTCATCCATACCTCTGAATGAGGATGCGCATCTTCACAGTACAACACTTACTCATTCTCCTTCAACACGAATGCGGTTCACTCTAGTTTATACCAATATTCTCCGAGGAACGACGAAGGAAGCGGCTGCCACATCGCAGCTTTCCATTTTCTATATAAAAAATAAAAAACAACAACGTGGCAGGAAGGGCTGGGAAAATCAGTAAGTTACTCCACACGATGACCCAACGAGAGGCATTCGTCAATCATTCACAACAGCAAGTGCATATCACTGTTATATCAAACATCAATTTCTAGCTGTATATATCTATACTTCTAGCTCTATCTCTCTACATCAATCTATATATCTATATTCATGTGCGTGTGCACGTGCATGTGCATGTGCGTCTGCGTGTATGTGTGCGTTTGCGCGTATCCATATACATACACACATCCGCGTATCCGTGTGCACATCCGCCCATGCGCGCGGCTGTGAGAGCACCTCCACTTCCACATCCATTTCCCTCTTCCTTAATCTAATTGCCGCTCAAGAAGCGCCCGCCACGCCGCTCCCCTCGCCCTGAACCAACAATCAAACTGGCCGAGGAGGATTTCTTTAACCACAATCCGCGCCACACTCGAGGATCCATTTTAGGTTCGCCTTTGTTTATCTCACAGGATCTCCTCAGGATGCCCAGCTCGTGCCCACGACACCACTCCACGCCAGGTTCCTCTTTTCCTATATATATGTATATATTTTTCATTTATGCGAACTACTCTTCCGATCCAAAATGCTTCCCGAAATCGTCCATTAATTGCAAACGGTTCCCCTGAATCCGCCAGCATCTCCCAGCGCGCGGGACCTTTTCAATCAAAGAAAGGTACACAAAACGAAGTTCTCGCGCGGTGTTCGCTCCCGACAGGCTGGCTCGAGATTTGCATATCCATCAGTGCGTGGGCATGAGTATATTTCTATTCCCGTCTGTCTCTGATTTCACATTACGATTCATCTACTCCTATTAGTATATTGCAATTACTATGTTTCTTGGAATTAGCTGAAATGTATATGTATATATGTATATACATATAGAAGTATATATGTATATACACGTATATAGTATATATTATATATATATATATATATATATATATATATATATACGTATGTATATATGTATATATATATATATATATATATATATATATATATATGTGTGTGTGTGTGTGTGTGTGTGTGTGTTGTGTGTGTGTGTGTGTGTGTGTGTGTGTGTGTGTGTGTGTGTGTGTGTGTGTGTGTGTGTGTGTGTGTGTGTGTGTGTGTGTGTGTGTGTATTAGTATATCCATGTTTAGACTTTAAGTTTAATTAGCTGAGTGGTATACTGAATCTAATGATTGCAAAAACCTCGCAATGACTATGCTCTCAACTCGTGATACTTTTAGTGTCGTTAACAAGAAATTAAAACATAATATATAAAGACCTACCGAGTAAATATATATACATACATATATATATATACATATATATACATATATATATATATATATGTATATATATATATATATATATATATAATCCCCAGTATTTTATTTAAAAATCGAAATCCTCCATCATTTTTCTTTTTTTCATTTTCCCTTTCTTCCTCTCTTTGTGAATGTATGAATGTGTGCGTGTGCGTGCGTCCGTAGGCGCGCGCGAGTGCCTGAGCATATACTTGAGTAGTGTAGATGTGTACGAGAGCGTGCAGGTGTGTGTACGTCCGCGGGTGTCTGGTGACTTGCGCCACACAGTCGGTTCTATCTCGTCCACAGTCTGTTCCTGCCGCAGCCTCCACTGTCACGGGTGTGCTTCTTCCTCCCAAGGTCCCCCGCTCTGCTCTGCTTCCCCTCCTCCTCCAGATGACGGGCTGCTGCTTCTGCTGACTTCGCCTTGGAACCCTAAACTGCCTGCGAGCACTTTCAACACTTTATCTAAATCCATTACAACTGCTTCTTCCCTTCATTTTTTCCTGTCTTACTCATTATTATATTACTTCCTTTATAGCATTCCTTCCTTTCACAATACCATAAAAGTAATACAGCAGTAATACAACAATACTTTAAAATATAACACTATAAAATAACAAAATATCTATACAATATTATAAAAATAAAAATAATTTGCCATACTGCTTAATGCTCTCCAGACCATTTATTTCGCACTGCTTTCCCCAAAGCGCGCAGGCCTCACGGTGCGTGCACGAATGCCAGTGAAAGTGCGCGCATGACGTTGGTGAATCACCTGCTGGCTCCTCGCAGTCGGTAACGCAGTCTCTCCGAAGGTCTTTCCTCCACAGAAAACACGCCTCCCAAAGAGTAAGGGGAAACTTGGCGAGAACTCTGCTTGCCCTGCAAAGCCTCGCGTCGCCACCTCTGACGTCACAAACTCTCTTGAATCATGATGGTGGGGGGAAGTGGGGGGGGAGGGCGAGAGATAGATAAACATAGGGTAATAGAGAGAGAACAGACGGAGGAGGGGAGCGAGGAAAAGTATGAGGTGAGAGGAGAGAGGGAGAGAGGGGGAGAGGGGGAGAGGGGGAGAGGGGAGAGGGGGAGAGAGGAGAGAGGGAGAGGGAGAGAGGGAGAGAGAGAGAGAGAGAGAGAGAGAGAGAGAGAGAGAGAGAGAGAGAGAGAGAGAGAGAGAGAGAGAGAGAGAGAGAGAGAGAGAGAGAGAGAGAGAGAGGCGAATGGGGGACTGCCGAGGGACGGTGAAAAGCGAAGAAAAGGAACAGACAATCCAGCTGGAAGCTGCAATCTCTCGCACACAGGTGACGTGTGTGTGTGTGTGTGTGTGTATATATGTATATATATATATATATATATATATATATATATATATATATATATATATATATATATATATATTTATATCTATATTTATATATATTTTTATATATCTATCTATGTATATCTATATATATCTATATATATTTATATATATTTATGTATGCATATATATACATATATATATATATACATATGTATATATACATATATATATATGTATATATGCATATGTATATATGCATATGTATATATACATTACATGTTTATATACATATATACACATATCGCTCAGACCAAATAACAAAATCGGTAAAAAAGCATCCTAAAAATACCACCAGAACGGTCTCCGAGGCAACCAGGAAACCTTGGAGTCCGTTTAAAACCGATAACTCAAATGAGACATTCCTCGCGGACAAAGCCGCCAAGGCAAGAGAGCGGAGGGAGCGGCACTCTACCTCGTCCGCAGCGCTGGACTTCCGCTAAGTCCTTTTACTCCTATACAATTTCAATGTGAACTTGATACAGGGCCTAACAGAACAAAATCTAATCCTATTTAACTTTTAGAAAAAAAAAACTAATAGCTAGACTTCTGCTGAATCCTTTTACTTTTATATAATTTCAATTTGAACTTATTACAGGGCCGGAAAAATCTACTTGCTCCTCGTGAATATCACTTCGCTGGACTTCTTTTAACTTCTTTTACTATTATTCTATTTAAATATGAACTTGCTATAGACCCTCATGAAAAAATATTCAATTCAGATTTTACTTCTGGAAAAAATTAATCTTCGAGTAAAACGGACAGCTTTGAATCGACGTTAATTAGAAACCCAATACGCCTGCTTACTGAGTCAACCTTTTCATTATAACTGCCACTCCATCATGCCTCACCGGTCGAGAATGCAGGGCCAACTTGGACATTAAGACACAACGCATTACCGAACAAAGGACAATTTCGGTAAGAATTCTAATGTAGGAGAGTCGTTCGCATAAAAATTAATTCCAAGCTTTAAGAAAACCGAGATCCGCACAAACAGACATGAAAAATAAACATTAGTTTCGACTAGAATGTACTTCGGGGATGTGTTAACATATTCAACAAATTACAGAGAAAACGCTTAGGAAAAGAACATGAAACAGAACAGGCTTACTCCACAAGCGCGCACGAAACTGGCTAACCACATCTATAATCTCCCACTCGCCAATTAACTGGTATTCCAGATCACGTGGAAATTTACGCCTGGTAAGCAAGCCTTCAGAAGACGGGGAAATGATCGTCTTGCATCAGTCCCCACTAATGGGAAGAATCTGAAGAGGGTCACTGGACCTCGAAACACTTAGCCACAGCTTTGCGAAATCCAGACCATACAAAAACGCAAAGCGTCTTCACGGCCGAACTTCTAACGTTTGAACTCAATATGGAACAACCCTCGAGAGCCTCGTCCATCTATCAGCGACTTCCTGTGCCTCTGCCTAGCGATCGAGTGCCTGCGTTGCGGGAACTTGCAACCCCCAGGACAGGATCTGCGACGAAAACAAAGCAATCCCCTAAAACCCGAACATCCTACACAGCATCCCCGGCGCATGTTAAGCCCCAACGTCAAAAGAACATCCTCTGAGGCATACGAAAAAAAAAAAAAATCAATTGTATTTCCCTGCAATCGATGCGTAGCAAGGAACGAGAGACAGGAGGAAACACCAGCAAGAAACAAGGTCCAATCTACCATTCTGACTTTGGCTGTTACCGTGTTTTATAGATTGTTTGGGACAATTCCCCTGACAACATCTGGTCAACTCGTCACGCTCACGCACTCTCCTCGTCACTCCTTCGTTCCTCCCTTCTTAAACACGTTCTTCACTCCCTTTCTTTATCTTACGTTCTTCTCTCCCTCCCTGTCGCACTCCGCCAACCCCACCCCCACCCCATCCCACCTCCAACTCCATATGGCTAGATAGGTGGGAGATGGGGAGAAGGGAAAAGGAGGAAGAGGGGGAGAGGAAGGAAAGGGGAACAGGTAATGGAGAGGGAGAGGGAGCATGAAAGGGAGAGGAAAAGGGAGTGAGATAGAGATAAATATGGGAGGGGAGGAGGGCAGGGAGAAGGAGACGGAGTAGGAAAGGAAGAGAGGGGGAGAGGAGAGGGAGAGGACAGAAAATGAGAGTTAGAAGAGAGAGAGAGGACAAAAAATGACAGATGGGAGAGAGAGAGAGAGAGAGAAAAGGCGAGAGCGAGGTAGAGGGAAAATAGGAGGGGAAGGAAGGAGAGAGAGAGAGAGTGAGAGTGAGTGGGGGGGTGGGGGGAGAATAGGCTAGGTAATCCCCAAGATAATCAATAACGCCAATAATAGTTATCTGGAGGTCAGGTTCTCGGTACATTCGTCAGGACAAAAACAACACCCGAAGACATCACATCAGACCAGGAGACATCACACCAGACCAGGAGACATCACATCAGACCAGGAGACATCACACCAGACCAGGAGACATCACATCAGACCAGGAGACATCACATCAGACCAGGAGACATCACATCAGACCAAGAGACATCACACCAGACCAGGAGACATCACACCAGACCAGGAGACATCACACCAGACCAGGAGACATCACACCAGACCAGGAGACATCACACCAGACCAGGAGACATCACACCAGACCAGGAGACATCACATCAGACCAGGAGACATCACACCAGACCAGGAGACATCACACCAGACCAGGAGACATCACACCAGACCAGGAGACATCACACCAGACCAAGAGACATCACACCAGACCAGGAGACATCCAGGAGACATCACACCAGACCAGGAGACATCACACCAGAACAGGAGACATCACATCAGACCAGGAGACATCACACCAGACCAGGAGACATCACACCAGACCAGGAGACATCACACAGACCAGAGACATTCACACCAGACCAAGAAACATTACACCAGACCAGGAGACATCACACCAGACCAGGAGACATCACACCAGACCAGGACACCAGACCAGGAGACATCACACAGACCAGGAGACATCACACCAGATCAGGAGACATCACACCAGACCAGGAGACATCACACCAGACCAGGAGACATCACACCAGACCAGAAGAGATCACACCAGACCAAACTGGGGCACACCACACCAAAGAGGATGACATCACACCAAACCGGGGGACATCGCAGCAGATCGGGTGACATTACACCAGAAAGGACATCACACCAGACTAGAAAAAAACATCACACCAGACCGGAGGACATCACATCAGACATCAGATCAGACAGGGCGACATAA